TCAGATTAAAGTTTTCTATCTAAGTTTTTTCATCTGACCATTGCTCGTTTGGGTATACCTGGCACTATTATCTTCTTTCGCTTTTGTTTATATGTATAGCTTGACTAGAAGCCTTTCTTTTTTGACATTAATCATAGATCATTAACTCTAATCTTTCATCTATAGCATTTTCAAATTCCATCAGTTTCACTTGAATGCTGCTTCTCATGAAAGTACTCATGGATTTTGAGTGCTCATCAGTAGTACCAGCATTCGAATTGGAGTACTCGCCTCGTTATTTTGAGTGTTTTTTGAGTATTCTTATTTTATTTTTGCATACTCTGGTGGTTTATGTAAAAGTATTCATAAGCGTATATTCTGTTTCGTATTGTTTTAAGACATTCATTTTGTTTAAATATTAAATTAACAGTCAAAGACAGAGACACTTACGATAACAATTTAAATTATACAGACAGCTTACGGGAAAGAAGTATTAATTTAACTTTATAGTTTTTTTCTTTTTTCTATAGGATAAAGATAAGTTTTCCATTTCTAGGAATTAAAACAAGAGTAAATCCAGATCAGTAAAAAGCAGAGATGGGACAGGTATAAATACAGCAAGTAAAAGTATGTTATTGCAACTTTAAAAAGTGTACTTATACTTGAGCACAAAAAAAGTACTTGGTATTTTTACTTGATGTATTAATATAATAAACTTCGTCTTTTAAGTTGACTATCTCTAATAGATTTTTCAAAACTATCGTGGCATCATGTGATAAAAAGTAAATGAAAACAAAAAATATTTTAATGGAGTTTTTTTTCTCTCACTTGCTGAAAAATTCACTGAAGAACACTGATCTATTTTCATTGTTCAATTTTCTTCAAAATTATGATGAATATCTATAAATGATGATGTAAATTCGGCGTAGTAGCATAAATATATATAGTTCTCGATGGCACTAAGAACAATCTACGTGAATTCAGATCCGTGTTCTAGAATCAAGGATAGATTTTTGCTTTGCTGCATTTTTGAATTGTCAATAGAATTTTAATATGAAATGTTGATGAAAGATCTCTGGAATATATCTTGGATCTCCATAAGAGTTTACATTAAAATCATTCATTCTTTCTGACAATATTGAACTTAAAATAAATGCATTTTATCAGCTCTATTTTGATAAGTGACTAATAATTTAACAAACGTAATATGTTTAAGATGAAAATCTGGTTTAGCAGAAACTTATAAAGTCATCTAAAAGTCATCCGATCTATTTGATGGCTAATTATTTCTAAATTGAATACCTTTCATTCGTCATGCAATACACCGAAAAAATATAAAAAATGCTTTATATAAAAGAATCTTAGATTTTCAAAAATAAGCAGAAGCTCAACATTGGTTTTAATTGTTATTAAGTTTATGAATGTATTTAGTAAGCGTTTAACATATTTAATCCAATAAGCTTTAATATTTGAAACGTCTTTCGTTGACGACAACAGTGAAACGTTCACAAAGATACTTCAAATATGTAAAAAAAATATTGTTTCATATTATAACTAAAAGTACAAACTACAGGTTTTTTTGTACTTCAGTAGAAGTACGAAAGCATTTGTCTCGAAGTACAAGTATTAGTACTCAGTAATCTTTTCAAAGTACAAGTATAAATAACACGTACATCTGATGAACACTTGTAATTTTATTTTACTTGAAAAAGCACGAAAAGTACAAGTACAAAATACTTTCGTCCGAGCTCTGGTGAAAAGAAATGAATGATACAATATTCAAATAAATTGAGAAATTCTACAGCATATAAACAGATAGTCTTAATTATTACAAAAAAAAACAACGAACGAATAATATAAAATTGATGAATATCCTTCATTAAATACTGTAAAGAAGAATAAAAATCAACCTATGTTGCACGTTTGTTCGAACTACCGCCGGTATACCATGGTACCTATCAAATCTGTCAACAGGCCAATCTTTCCCAGTTTGGCTTGCAGCGCAAACCAGATTGAATGATGTTTCGGTGTTTTTAAATTCACTAAGTTCTATAATCTCATTATAATGAATTATTCAAGTTTCAGTTATACAGTTAATTTATTTTCATAAAGATAGTATAATGACAAGTTCTTGGACAAAATAGTGAATTAAAATAAAGACAGAAATCATCAAAGATATTTTCATACAAGAGTGTGACGTGTACACGCGAATGACTGTGTACAGAGCTGTCGGCTTGGTGTGCTGCCTGCCAGACCGCTGGCAGACCACCAGGTTGTCCGCGAGGTCAGGTCAAGTTTTGAAATTTTAGTCTGGTCTGATCTGTTTCAATTATGTTCGGCCCAGTTAACAGGCCAGATCAGGCCAAAGTTGCTGACCTGCCCGTGTAAAAATCGATTGAAATTTATCAAAAAAAGATGTTACCTATTTGACAATGAAAACGAGTTCAACACTTGTTTTTAACGAATTCTCATGAGTTATTTCACGTTAACTGTTTCTAACGAGGAAACATGGATGGAATTTCGTTAAAAAGAAGTTTTTAACGCGTTTTCACGGTCAAAAAGGGAACATCATATTTCCGTTAAATATTTATCAATTTTTACGTAAGTAGCTCCTAAATTTTGCAGATCAACAGTTGATGCATCGGCTTATTATCCGAGAATATTTTACACAAATTCATTCTATTCTAGCAAACAATACTTGAACCGAATATCACTGTAGTATTGCAGGACTTATATTCATTGATAGAAGAACTTGTTTAGATCCACAACAATTGAGTAGTAAATCTTGCAATCGTGCTCTATTGCAAAAATTGATCGTTAAATGAAAATGTCTTTGCCTGCTATTTTTGTTCTATGCTTTCTTTTACCTCTTCATTGTATGCATTGTCATATGCTGTTTAGTTATCAGGATTACATTTTTGTGAAGTTGCGAAACAGAATTGATATGATCAAAGGCATTGTGTTAATAGAAGCCTTTCTCGTATGAAAAAAAAATCTTTGATTGCTATCTCTGTTTTACTCTGCTATTTCATGCAACAACTTTTTATCTTATATTTACGAAAATAGATTAAGAGAACAACTGAAACTAGAATGATACATTAATGCAGAATTGTAGAATTAAACGTATTTGAACATCAGAAACATAAATCGGTCTGGTTTGGCCAGGCTAAACCAGAAAAAATGACTCGTCGGCAGCTCTGTCTATGTATAAACAGACGACATACACCCTCACAAAGTCGTAAGTTTGTGACACCACCTTCAAGTTATACTAGGGAAAATATTACTACGTCACACACAGGTCGACAATTCGACACGACAGTCCTACCCAATACTACATGGATAGATCAGGCCAGGCTAAAATTTCAAAATTTAGTCAGGCCTGATGACGTACCAGGTTGACAGCCCTCGTACACGTAAGCATCTCTAGTATATCGGCAGTAGATTGTTGGTCAGACGACTACTATTGATATATCGTGGTAGTAAGGGGATCAGAGGTTATTCGACTATTTCAGTATCAAGCTACTACCGGTATAGCGCACATTGTACTGAATGGTGTATTGATGGCTTTTGCTCGATTTGGATGACATGCGTAACTATTCGTCTATATGACAATGTATATGTCTTCATCACATATCATAAAACTGCTCGAGTATTCGCGTGAGTAAGTTAAATAGTCATGCTAACTAGTCGTACTAGTTGAATGTGTATTTTCACTAAAAGCATAAATCTAATAGTTGAATTTTCTTTCTTCATTTTATATTTCACTGAATAGGTTTACGGTGTATTTTTATTATGAATGCATTTCATCGATTGATTATTTATTTGACTAAAAAGCAATAGATATCTTTGAAGAATTCGTTTTTGCCTAAAGTTCGTATGAATCCTAGGTGGCCACATAAGAATTAAATTGATATAGTGTAGATGATAGTGAGTCCGTCTCGTTTCTTTTTAAGTAAATTAATCCGTGGCTTGCAACAAAAGAGCCCAGATCTCATCTTTTGTCTTATTTATATTCATAAATGTTAATTTAAACGATTTTTCAAAACACAAATATTTTTAGAAGAAATTACTCAAATTTAGAAAGACCAGAAATATTGTCGATCTTACTCTGTTAAGATTTTTAGCCCAAAACCTTGAAAACTAGACATATGTACTTCGATGTAATTATATTAATTTAAGTTCCTATTTTTCGAGAAATCAATCAATTAAGAAGATCTTCTATTGCGCCAAGCGTATTGTTCCTCCGAAGAGGTCTACTATTCTGGCACGAAGGAATGTTTAATTAGTTTTTCGTAGATACATTGCAGCTGCATAAAAATGTCTGAATCGAGTTAAGTTGTTAAAAACGCTAACATCTCGTTCTAAAAAAATTGTTAGTGCAGTTCACGTGGGACTAATATGTGAAATACGATGTATCTGCAGCAGTTGGTAGTCGTAGAGATATTGTTCTATCTTATCTACTTTGAAGCATATTTCTTCACCATCATGTTATTGAATCCTATAGTAATGCAATAAGGAAGTAGTTCATATATTATAACGAGACGTTATTGATATACGGCCTGTTGTGCTCGTATATCAACAACGTCTGTCACATCTTGTGATGCGAATGACCGAGTGTTGCTAAGATGACTGTAAAGTCTGCGAGGAGGCTGAATTCAGAGTTCTATCCCTATACCTCAACACTTCTTTTAGATCGTCTTTCACAAAACATCAAGTTTCATGGGCTATATGTGCGTACTAATTAGTTTCGAGTATGATTGTTCCAATTTGTCTCGGAACAATAAACAAATTATCGAATCCCTTTCGTTTGAGTTCGTTAATGATGGATAATTTTTTAGAGAATAACTTGATCACCTGCCATTTCCAAATGTGACTTTCTATTAGGAAATATGTTCGCGTCTTCATTAAACCATTCTTGGTATGATGATGATGATATACATTAGAGATTTTCTCGCTAATACCATTTTAAAAAAATGACTTTCGATATCTGATAATTTAATACGAGATAGTTCTCTTTATAGATGGATAATATAACAATGGAAACATTGCTGTTGAACAATACAAATAACACATGTCCGGCACCTCTTTTATGGCCTAAAGATGTTGTTGAGGATGAACAAGCTGCGCTTGGCATTTGTATTACTGCTGCAGTTATTCATGCAATATTTTGGCTTCAATTAATCTTTTCTTCATCTATTCGACAAAAATCAATGCAATGGATCTATGCATATCTTCTTACTGACATGTTTCTTCTTCTTCGCTTTTGCTTTTCTTATACTATTCATACAACATCTACTGAATGTCAACCAAGCAGATCACGAATTTTATTTATCTGCTATTTTGAAGCAATACTTGATAATTATTTTAATATACTTAAAGTGTATATTTTATTAGTTTTGAATTTATGTCGTTATATACAAATAGCATACAATAAAAATGTATACCAATCCAGTAGATGTCTATTGGTCTTAGCTCATCTTGGTATTTATATAATTCCATTACTTGTTTACATCGCTCCATGCATCCTTGGTTGGACTGATGTAGGTGGATTTGTTAGAGATACATGTGTAATATTTTATGCGAATATGTATATTCAAATATTTAATACAATATTTGCATTTGCATTACCTATTTTTCTTAATATCTTGGTAATTTCTGCTAGTATNTAGTGTGAAAATATAAGATAAGGATAGACTTTACTATGCATATAGAGGCGAATATGAGTCGTACCTCTTTCGGATGGCGCTACGCAGCTATGAAAGGTTAGTTATACGGCTAAATTTAAAATAATATTTTACTTTAGTTATGGCATTTTTTTCTTGTAGCTTGAAAACTGAATTCAATTATTCAAGAAGCAAAAATAAAATTTATCCGTATAACTAACCTTTCATAGCTGCGTAGCGCCATCCGAAAGAGGTACGACTCATATTCGCCTCTATATGCATAGTAAAGTCTATCCTTATCTTATATTTTCACACTACTGAATGTAGGTCTTCAATTCAACTACACCTTCATTGCATTCTGTAATTTGTCATACTTAGTGATGAATGATAGCCATATCCATCACTAAGAAAAGTCAACAGAAAAGTTTGAAAGGCTTAGAAAAACAATATTATCTTCTTCAGTAAATATTCAGAAAACCTATGTAACATTCTTAAATTTTATCATAAAATCAATAAACTATTGTGCATTCAACAGTAGAACTTTTTGTGTATCTGAACAGATATAAACCATGGAATCAATAGATTTGACTAAAAATTGCATTGTTCATTAAATTGAGTTGGACTCTGATCACTAAATCTTATTGTTTATGGCAGGTTAGTTACCGCGAAGAATCTAATCGATATTGTTCGGCTACTTGATTTTATTTAAATAGCATTAGATTCAATAATAATTGCAGCATTACATGTTTGTGTTTTTGACATGTATGGCGAAAAGTCTGGATTCATGCAAAAAGAGTTCAAGGTAAATAGAAGGGATTAGAACAGATTTAGATTGTTAGTATTTTCGGAACACATTAGTAGCTTCGAAAATCAATAAATTTTCATTTCTGGATTAAAAATATAGCAATATAAAACTCTCTCTCTCTATATATATAGATCGTTCTTTTTTACATCTTTTTAAACATGACCACAAACAATATCTCGAGCAACACCTTGTAAAACCATTTGAATAAATTCATTAAAATTTATTTCTTGTTTACCATTGTGTGATACTTTCGTAATATAACTTAATACAGTTTCTTTACTCATATTTGGATGTATAACAGGTATAAAAGCTGATAATTCATCTAAATCAATTGTTTTTGAATAATTGCTATCAAGTAAGCGAAATGCTTCACGAATTTCATCAGCTGTATATGTACCCATCATAAATGGTTGAACAATTTGAATAAATGTATCAAATGGTAAAATATTACGTTGATATTTAAGTGTATCGGCAATGCGTTCATATTCATCACGTTTAATTGATGCTTGATAATGTTTTTCAAGTTTTTCTTGTCTAACTTGCATATTTTCTTCAACTTGTTCTGTTCGTATTTCATCATATTGATAAGTTATTTCCATTAGTCGTCCATATTGACGATAGATTGTTTCACGAACAGTAAACTGTAAATCGGTCATAGTATCGATTAATTTTTATTTCTCGTTGTATTAATATCAATTTGCCAAATGTAAAAAAAAAAAAAGAAAAGAAAAAGAAACGAAGTAATCTACACTGATTTTATTTATTTTTCAAGCAAATAAAAGACAGCAGACGAGCTCTGATAAGTACAAGGCTATCGAATTTCGTTTCTCTTGTAAATAAGAAAGAAAAGAAAATGCAAAAACAATTGTCGATTTGAAACAAGAGGATGTAGGTAAAAATACAAAAGAAAAAATTCAATTCAATTTTTTATTATTTTATGTCTTTGTGGGTAACTAACAATGATAGTTATATTTTATGATTATGAAAGAACCTATAGACTATGTAACAATAATATTTACAAAAAGCAGCATATTTGTGATCATGTATGTTTCAAAAAAATTTTTTTCTTTAGTATTGTTTAAAAATTGTTTGAGTTATACTATGAGTTATTTTTTATTTTCATTGAAAGTGAAATTTGTCGATTTCAGTATGACTAAATGAATTCATAATGAAAAATCTAAATTGATGCTGTATAAAACTTATGATAAAGTTGGTTGATTAGAAATTTTCTCTCTGTGTTTGTAGGCAAATGACTTGGTAATGAAGGATGCGAGTAGATGGAGAAAAAACGTTCACCCATATTCTAGAACTGATAAGTCTTGTGATCAACATGGTAATATCGAAGGCTCCGTTTTATTTTTTTTTACATTTGTATTCGGAACAAAAAAAAAAACTTTTTTTCTCGTTTATTAATCAAGTTAAGTCGTTAAAAATAGATAAGAATTTAGTTCAAAGAATGCAATTTTTATTAAGATTTCTCTATTGTAAACATAATCTTCAAAGTCACCAGTAGTACAAATAATTGTACTCTTATTTTGATAGGTCTTCTTTCGATATCAAATTTACTCGAAATATATTTGATTACTTTTTTTTCAGTTCAATACTATTTATATGATTGAACAAATAAGTCTATATCATGCTGATTAATCTATCAATCATATTGAAAATATTCAGACTGACAATTTATCATAACTCTATATTGATATAGAATAGAACCATAAGTAATTACAAATTACAAAAAAAAAAAAAATAATTTATTCATTGTTTGTTTTGTATTCATTACAATATATATATATTGCAGTGTTTCCGTTGTATATATATATATATATATATGAGTAAGATTAGTTGATTGATCAATTAATAATCAATTTGATAAAAGTAGAAAAAACTATTTTATTTGTATTATAATCATTTATTTCAACGTTTCCATTCTTCACCAATAAGAAAATCGAATGATTCAATTCATAATTTACTACCTTTAGATGGTTTGACGTAGAAAAAAGCAACTCTCGTACAGTTTGCACTGTATAATATCAGTATGATAATTAACCAACATATGTTTGTACTTAATATTTTATTTTTAAGAATCCATGACAGTGTAGTAACAAAGTAGGAAAATAGTAAAAACATCATTTTCTTGTCCTAATTAACAAAGAAAGATTTATTTCATTTTGATCAAGTAGCAATCGGAGTGAGCAAATTCGTTGTTAGAGCGCAATAGCATTTTTTTGCTTTTGTTCTTCCTTTCACCTGTCATCATCGTCAACACTTGTTGACGAACAACAATTTCTTCCGTCTTGAGAGAATCAAATAAATGATTTACATCAAAATGGGCTAAGTAGTAATAGAATGAGCAAACATTTTCAAAGTCTGTTTATTTTTTCTTATATTTTGTATTTTGAAATTTTACTTTTTCGACACTTTGAAACTTGTGATATTTGTTTTCATTATCTACACACTAATGAGATGTTAAATTTTGTGGAAACTCTTTTCTGTTAGTTTAATACACATAATATGCATCTACTATGGTACTCATTATTGATTATCATTTAAGTGTCCAGTAAAATAAATTATATGATTAGTATAAAAACCGAAAAATATTATAGTGTGATTCAAATAGATGATAGGCATATTGCAAAAGAAATAATAGAAGATATTGAAATGTTTCAATTATCTAATTCTATAGCTGTATTCAAGTTAGCATTAACATTATTTTTGAAGAAATGAAACATGAGCAACAAACAAAAAGTACCAAATCAAATGATGGTTGATATGAAGATATGCACTATGTACAAACAACGTCTTATAGACAACCAATAAAATAATCAAAGATGATGGAACATTTAGAGAACATCATGTCTTTTTTTCAAGATTTTTAAAAATAGCTCCAAATATTGTCAATGATTAGTCAATTGAACGAGACTCTTTCTCAATAAACCCTAAAATATGTGCTACAAATTCATCAATATCTAAAACATATTATATACCAGTTCGTGATTTATAATCGATTACATAAGTAAATTTAGATTAAGTATAAAAATAAGAAGTATACAACTTTTAATCAATTGAAAAAAATCATTTGATATTTGGTGTGTGCAAATTGAGAATGTTTCTGATTGGCAGAAAAATCAAAATGCAATTGTTCAACTTTTTTAAAAGAATGAATTATATATGCAAACCATAACAAGTAGCAAAAACAGTGTCGATCAATGAGAAAAGAAAAGGAGGTAAATCAGCAAAGGCAAAATATGCATGCTTTTTTAGTACTATGATTGAATTTTAATTCGTTCTTTGAGTTTCTTTTTACGTATTATGTGGTTTTTTTATTTTATTTTTCTTGTACGAAATTAATCTTTATACGAATAAAATTTATTTCTTCTTCTGATAAAATCTGCATTTTTGTTGATCGAATTTTATTTTTTGTACCAATACTTATATATAAAAACTGACTATTTTAGTACTGATCATCAATATTTACACTAATCATTTGTATATGAGACAGACGAGTTTGAAATCTAATTGAGATTGGAATAGCATTTTTGTTATTTTCTAGTAAAAAGTATTGTTAATATATAAAAATAGAAACATTATTTAAACAATGAGTAAATATTTTTTTGTTTTTCTGTAATGAATGTAAATTTTCGTTATTATTTTTTTCTAATAATGGTGATGTTGAATGGTTCAAGAAGTTTCAATAATTAATAAATAGAATCTTTTCTAGTCATTAATGAAAATAGATTTCAATTCAGGATTCTTAGATAAATAATAAAATACAAAAAAAAAAATGGAGTTCAGGTATAGATATTTTATATGTTTTAAAATAATTGAATCGAATATATAACGAACAGAGGCGAAGAGAGGAAGATTGTTATAAGTAAAAGTGACTTATACAGCTTTTATATCTTATGATTACGATATGCGAGCATTGCAAATGATTATAAGTACTAATGATAATGAAACTTAAGTTTTTTCTCCAGATAGTGCAATTGATGGTGCATGATATATAATGATTCTTACAGTAAAATTTAGTATTTAGTGAATGCACTTTAATCGCTTGCATTCCAAAATTGAAATACATTAATATTTTCAAAATTATGCAATAAATAATTCTAAATGAAGTAATTCTACAAAATTCTAATAATACCAAAACTTGAATACAATAATAAACATCAATTGCTGTATGGTTTACACAATCAAAATAATATAGCATTCAGAAAAATGAAATGCACAAAACAAAAAATGTTGGTTTTTTATTAGTAAAATACGAAAGCTCAAAAAACAGATGTTTTTATTATTGTATTTAATGTCAGTCTGTTTTTTAAACATTTGCCCCAATGAAATTTCACATTGCTTATGAAGCTTTATTCCTATTATAAAACCTTTGTTTTTCTAACAGAGTTGTAAAAAACTATTTCGCGCATTCCAAACTGAACTAAATTTCTAATGTCAATTGTGACATATATATGTTTTTTTACTCACCAAAAACAATGTCCTCTTTATTATGTACTAGCTGAAGTGCCCGGCTCTGCTCGGAAAAGTTCAATCTTAATATATGCATGAAAAATACGCATTGGGCTCGACAACATGTGGAAAATTCTGACCAGTGGGGAGCCCCGCTGTGAAACCTGTTCGTAGATAGCCTAGCAAAATAGATGCCCTTTGATTGAAACAAAGCACAACAACAAATCTAATTAGTCTAGAGTCTCACTTTCACAGCCCCTATTGATCGAGTGAGTTAGGATGGTAAATCGTACTTTGTACTTCTCGAATAATGCTGAATTCTGATTTGTTGCAAAGACAGACAGACAGACAGTTTTTTGTTCGACAGAGACCTTTTTTAGCAACATAAGAAGTCTATTTCTTTGAGCTAATGATTGATACACAGACGTTTGAACCTGACAAACTATTTATTCGAAATCCCGATCTCCTGGTGACCAGCTTCCTCAAAATTCGATTTGTATTTGACACGGGTCGCCCAGTAGGGTCACGGCCGACCTAATAGAGTTTCGAGATCAATAGACTTAGGATTTCTAATGCCCTTTTCCCGATCATCCAGTGAGGTTTCTTTTCCCACAAACTCGATTCCTGTTGATTTTCGGCTAACCAAAACAATTTCGAGGCAAATGGACATCGGATTCGAATTCACCACGTGTAGAAACCGTTAGAGGACGGCTTCCACGAAAATCCAGTTTAGATTAGCTGGTTTCTTCGCGGCTGAATTCCTATTAGATTTCAGCCAACCAATAGGATTTCAGGCAAATGGACCCCAGATTCGAACTCATCGGCCTCAAAAAGCTATGGTGACTTGCCTTCTATTTGATCACGGAGTGCTGTTAAGTAGTTCTCCTATACTACCGAGTGCTGCAATCTCATTGGTTAGATACATAGTCCGGCCTTTTGCAGACGGAGGATCGATTTTTTTGCGGTAAAAAGTAGTCGTTAACCTTCCTCTGAACCAAAGAGTATATCCTGCAAAGTTTGGCTGTATTTGCTCGTACTGTGTCCAAATGCATAAAGAACAAACAAACTTTCTTCTTTATATATTAGATATCGCTTAAATAACATATCGATAGCTTCATTTTAGCTTTACTCCCAATTTAAGTAATATTATCAAAAGTTACATCGTTGACAAAACATCCTTTTGTTTGCTTTATAAATCCAAACATAACTCTATATTATCTTTGATAGATTAACAGAAGCATTGAAATGAGCGCTCTAATTCTTTCTTTTTTATAAATTTTGAAACACTCTCAAGAATATCAGCGAAGACAGATAAAAGAAAAAAAGAAAATATATCCTTATATTGAGATGATATATCATCGCACAGTTTGTCTTACTATTACTAGTGTGTACAAAGAGAAATTGATGACTGTATCAACTTGTATATGCTCTAGTTGTAGATTAAAATTAATTGTATCTTGATTTTTTCAAATATAATAATTATTGTGTGCGCCAAAATATGATGTATCTCAAATTTTTTTTGAATATTTCATGAACGGAAACAACGACAACTCTAAAATTATCACCATCTGAAGTGAACTGTAGGAGAACTTAAAACACTTCAACACTATTGAGATTGTAAATTAGTTCAGTAAAGCAACTTACACGAGAGAGTTTGATCACAAGTTTTGAATGACAATTTTTCACTCAAATACTAACTTCAATTTTGCCAATTGCTAATGAACAAGTTTTGACATTGACTAATCGATCACTGGTCAGTCTAAACGGTAAAGTTGAGATACTCGATAAAATTCAGTTGAATATTGTCAATTGCTTTTAGTTTCAATATAATGATTTTTGTAAGCTGTAAATAATGCAAAATTGTAGCAAAATTTGTTTTTCTTTTTCTTGACATGGTCAGATGGAGCTCAACGAGCTGAGTAAAACAATATATCTTTTAATTTTTTTTCCAGGTTTTTTCGTTCAAAAAACTTGAAGTTTTTCGAGAGCTCTGAAAAATCCATTTGTTTTGATTTTAAGGAACTTTTTCACTTTGTTGGAAATGTAAAACCGATATATTCAAATTCGCCGTGAAAAACTGTATCTAATGCACCTATTTTAAAATAGGTGCATTAGATATAGGTTTTCACGGCGAATTTGAATATATCGGTTTTACATTCCCAACAGAGTGAAAATCTTCCTTAAAATCAAAAATTGGATTTTTCCGGGCTATCGAAAAATTTCGATTTTTTTTTGAACGAAAAAACCTAGAAAAAACATTAAAAAATAGTTTTTTTTATTCAGCTCGTTGAGTTCTATCTAACCATGTCAAAAAAAACTTGCTGCAGTTTTGTATTATTTGCACCTTATTAGGTAACAACTCCTTTTAACCACTATGAAAATCAAGAAATTCAAGCAGAATACAAGTAGTCAAAAGACTTTGTAGGATATCAACATATCTTGAATTTATTGAACTCCTACGTTTTCCTTGAATTTCTTCATTTTCATCTTGTTTAGAAGCAGTTTATATGCAAGATATCGAAATCTCTTGAATTCCTAAATTTTCCTTGGTTTTCTTGAACATCTTCATTTCCATCGTGGTTATAAAGCAGTTATATATGAGAGACATCAGCATCTTTTGAATTTCTCGAATTCCCTTCATTTTCCTTGAATTGCGAATTTCTGGATCGTGGGGCTATCTTATTCAGTTCGATAAAAGTTGTAGAATTATTCTCTGAGTTGCTAAACAAGTTGTTCATCGGCTTAGCTTTTCTCGAATTGGTATAAGACATTAATATAAAATTCTAGTTTAGTTTTTAAATATGTCTTGAGATTAATCTTTACAATTGATACTTAAATGTATAAATTGAATTTTTTTCATTTAGAATTAGTCCAACTTGCCGGTTTGAACGAAATGGGCCCACTCTCGATGAAAAAACTATCGAATACTTGAGTATGCTCTTTCGTAAGACAAGATTTCTTCAGTAAAACTGTGCAATCGTTCAGAAAAAGATCTGTCGATCGAACAAGAGCTGAGATTTTTGAATGAATTTACAAACGAGCTACTTTTGTCAATACGTATAAATAGTTTTCATAACTTAGTTAAGTAAAAGGGTTCAAGAAAGGTTAATTTTCAACAATGTGAACTCGAAATTTTGATTGTAAGGTACTGGATTAAAATCAATTGCAATATTGTTTTATTATCATTACAAATACATGTTAGTTTTCAAATGGATCACACATGGTCCAAAAGAAAATAATGAATTTTCCACACTTAGATATATTATAAAGAATAGAATAGCCTTCAAATATACCTACAAATATTTTAAATGTTTTCATCTAAATATAATCATACTCCATAATCAAGAATTTGTAGATCTATTTTATTTTAAATAATAATATAAAGATCTTTATTCAATACATGATTTACAAATGGATATTAAATGGCAACAATGATTTTACATTTACTCGTTCTCATGTCACAATTTAAAGATCATCATCTTATGTGGAACTAATGTGACCTAGTTAATGATGATCGATGATTTTCGTACTTAAAGTGCTCGCTAAAAATATTATCAAATTTTGATAATGATCTTAATTGCCTTGCATTTCTATTTATACAACCTTTATTTTTCTTTTCAAAATATCTCCTGTCATTCTTGGCATACAAACCGGATATGATAGAAGGGTTACTTTCGCATGCAAGATAATCCTTTTTCCTTCTAGAGTATTCTGATTAATATAATCAATGAGAATATGAAATTATATGCCCAGTTCCGTTTTCTTTCTTCTTCGTTACTATTCATCAGCGCCCTCTCTTGCAGATTCATACTACCGTCAAAGCCGATTCAATCACGCTGTTCTGTCTCAAATAATAAAAGAGTAATATGTAAAGAAAAACCTTCGTTTACTTTAATAACAAGAAAAAAAAGAAAAATGATCTGCACTTTTGTTTTATTATTTCTTTTTGTAAAAGGACAAAGATATATTCTTGTTGGATGCAATGAACTTCACAAACATTTCTTCTAAATAAAACGAAAAAACCATGGGTTGTATTCTTGGAATAGTAAGTTTGAATATTTTCTATAACTCTTCTTAAAGAATAAAAATTATTTTTTTAGCTTGGCTGCTGCTTTGGTTCAACAGCTTGTAGTCTTTGTTGTTCGTGTTGTCCATCCGCACGTAATTCATTAGTAACACGTTTAGCTTATGGAATACTTTTATTAGTTGGCACAATTATTTCATGGATTTTTTTAACACCTAATCTTGTTAATGAACTATCTAAGGTAGAATATTGTTAAAAGAAAAATTTATTTTAGTATAAATAACGATAATTTTTATTTATAAATTAGATTCCAGTTTTATGTAAAAGTGAAACATTATATGGTATAGAAATCTTAGAAAGACAAATAGCATGTGAAAGGATTGTTGGCTATTTAAGTGTTTATCGAATTCAATTTTCATTTGCATGTTTTTTCTTTTTAATGATGTTATTAATGTTATGTGTTAAACGATCAAAAGATCCTCGAAGTGGAATACAGAATGGGTAAAATAAAGTGAAGTTGTTATTTAATAAATTCTTTATTTTATTAGATTTTGGGTTTTTAAAATTTTGATTATTTTTGGTATTTGTATTGGAACATTTTTTATACCAAATAAAGGATTTGCACCAAGTAAATTGATAATTAATTGAAAAAATCATTTTTACTAAAAAAGAAATTATTTTTTTTTTAGCTTTAACAATTATTGGAAGTATTTGTGGTTTCGTATTTATATTAATTCAACTTATTCTTATTATTGATTTGGTACATAGGTATCATTTTTTTTAAATATGACAGAAAAAAAGAAACATATTTATAATGTTTAGTTGGAATGAGAGTTGGATTGGCAAAGGTGAAGACGGTAGTAAAAAGCATTATTGTGGTCTTATATTCTTTACAACAAGCTTTTATATTCTTTCAATTGTTTCCATTATATTTCTTTATATTTATTATGCTTCAAAATCGTCATGTAGCCTTAATATATTTTTTATAACAATTAATTTTGTATTATGTCTAATTGTATCAGTTGTATCAGTTTTACCCATAATACAAAATTATCATTCAACATCAGGTTTATTACAATCATCATTTGTTACACTTTATGTTGTATTTTTGACATGGTCAGCTATGACAAGTGAAAAGCCTGGTATTCTTAAAAACAAAAAAAAAGCAACAAAAATAATTATGTAAAAAATGATTTATTTAGATCCAATATGCAATCCATCATGGTATGAAATAATTACGAATGGCAATTCAACTGTCATCAATTCAACCGGAAATGGTTCCGTTAATTTGACATCAATTATAGCGTTGATTATTTTTTTTGGTCTCATTATTTATTCTGCGTAAGTTTTTTTTTTTTGCTGAATAAATTTTAAGCAAAGTATATTATTTGACTTTTATTAAGTATAATAACTTCAACAAAATCATCTAACGGAAAACTACTTGGAATACCAAGTGATGAAGGAACTAAAAGTACTGTCCCTAAAATAGGTGAGTAAAACGTATTTGTTTTGTTTTCTCCATAATTATCTTTTTGAATTATTAGATGGTGGTAAAAGTTATGACGATGAAGAAAAATCAGTTGCCTATAATTATTCATTATTTCACTTAATGTTTTTCTTTGCTTCGTTCTACATAATGATGACATTAACAAAGTAAATATATTTGATTGTTATTTGACTTATTAATCTGTTTTTTACTGCTTAGCTGGCTTGAACCAACGAATGATTTTTCAGATTTTCACCAAAGTGATTCGACTGTTTGGATAAAAATTGCTTCATCATGGACATGTATCGCCTTATATTTTTGGTCTATTCTTGCACCATGTATATTTCACAGCAGAGATTTTTCATAGAACAATTTGTATCGTTTATGTATGTTGCATGTATATATAAGATATCGAATCATATCGTATCTTTTATTAAAAAATCTCCATTTATATTTATATATATATATATATATGTTTGAATTCTCCGTTGTATTTTTTTATTTGTTTGAAACTAAAGAAATAAATATAGAAGAACAATAAGAACGTAAAAGAAAACTCATTCAGTATGTTTACGAGGTAAATCATCATCACTTCCATCATCTGATGATGATGAAAAATAGATTTCTGCACCTGCAAATAAATATCGTCGCGGTGGATAAGATATATATGATAAATCTTGATTGAATAATGGTGAATTTTTTAATGATGAAAATGGACGTTTACGTGAAGATGATGATGATGATGTTGACGATGATGTTATTATTGGTGGTTTAAATAATCGAGGTCGAAGAGATGATAAACGTTCTTTAGGTAATGATATATCATTTGTTGTATGAAAAGATATTTTTTGTTTTTTTTTCTTTTGTTGTTGCATTGACGTACGAATTTTATCATATAAAATTTCATTCATAAATTCTTCATTTCTATGATTTAATCGTTTTATATTTCCAAATGATGATTCATATTTAGCTAAACGACGACATAATTCATTAATAATAACATCACAATTTCCTAATAATTCAATATCAAATGATTTATGTGGTAAACGTTCACGATTAATTAATATTTGTGGTATATGTGCAGGTAAAAGTTCAGATACAAGTGAAACTGGTTTAACCTAAACAAAAAACAAAATAAAATAAAATATTTTTCTTTTTTTTTCTACTCTTTTAATTTACTTTTAAACTTGAACCCATAACAATGAGTAAATCACATTTATCTTTATCAATTGATATTGTTTTATGAAAATCTTCTGGTAATGGTTCACCAAAAAAAACAATGTCAGGTTTAAGTATTGCATTATTGATTGTTTTTGAACATTTTATACAATGTGGAATAATTTGTTGTAAAATTTCATTCTTTATTTCATCACTATTAACACGATTATGACAATGACGACATGTTGATGTTGAAAATGAACCATGACATTGAATAAGACGTGTTATGGGACATAAATGTTCAAGTGAATCAATATTTTGTGTATAATTACGTAATAATTGATCACGATGTTCTAATTCAGCTATAAAATAATGAGCTAATGATGGTTCATATTGACCAGGCCAAATTTCTTTAGCAAAACGAAAAAACGGTCGAGGATCATGTGTAAAATATTCAATATCAAACATAGATGTAGGATTAGGTAATTCAGGAAATTCTTCACGTAAACGTGCATAGACACCATTACGAGAACGAAAATCAGGGACTAGAAAAAAGAAAAACAAGAATATTATTCATAAGCAGAGATAATATCGAATAACTTACTTCCACAACTAACGGAAATTCCAGCTCCAGTAAGTACAAGAATATTTTTACATTTACGAATTAATTCTACAGCATCATCAAGTGTTTTATATTGTTCAAGTGGTTGACGTTGTTGTACAGGTAAAAAAAGATCCATAAGTAGTTGAAAAAGTGATGATTGTGATACATCATTTGGTAAACCGGGTAACATACGTGATAATATAGGACGTAAATCAACACCAGCACGCATTTGTTCATCAAGCCAATCGAATGTTATATTCATAGGCAATGGTTCATCATTACTATCAGAATCGTCATCTGAATTATTTGATGGATTATTATTATTATTTATATTATTATTTGTTGAGATATGTGTTACGTTTAATGTTGGTGGAACAGGAATTTCAATACTTTGATTTGATGTTTCATCGTTTACAATAGGAGATGATGAAACAAAATCGATTACTGAACTTGAAGACATTAATCTCTTTAAACTAATGCTAGAGAATGAATGACCTTTCTTGTCAACAAGTACAAGAGAATCAATCAATAAATTGGACTCATGTTGGAGAAATTTTATATTTCACTTTTTTTTTCATTGAATTTTAATAGAAAATAATAAATCAAAATTAAGAGAAAATATTCTTTGAAAAGTGAAACTTTATTGAATATATAACATATTTATTCTTATGATTAACGACCTCTATTTAAAACGAAAAGAGGTTGTTGCTTATTCTAAATGAATTCTAAGAATATCATTAAATGGTAGAAAACAAAATAATTCATAATATTTAAGATTTAATATGACTGAAAAAGATTTAGAAATTATGTTTTATTGAATTTCTTTTCTTATTTAAATTTAAAATTCAATTTAAAATTGTCAATTGATTGAATCGAAAAAAAAAGAAATAATAAAATAGTTATGTGTTTTTTTAAACTTTAAAAGAAACTTTTCGAGAAAAAATGAATTCAATTAAGTTGAAATTTTTAATTATCACAAGATCTATCTATAGAAAAAAAGATAAATTAGAATATTTCAAATATCAATTATAATCTTAAGAAAAATATAATCAAATGATGGAATCAAAACTCAAGTCTGTTATGATCAAGATGAATACAAAGATTAATCAATAATGGAATTTTCGTTTTTTCTGACATCTAGACTTCTTAGATTTTGTTAATCATTATTATTAACTCAAACAATATTTCAAATATTTACTCGTAGCAAAAAAAAGATTTAAGGAGGTAAAATATAATGTTGACTTCCCATGTAGCCGATAATTTAAAATAATGAATATCATCAGCTACACGGTTATGATCATGTTGTTGAAGATAAGGGTAAAACTTTGAATCTCTCATAGACCATGACAGACGTAGATATACTAGTGTTTTATTCAGCGTAGCAGTCACAGGAGTGGTGCTCTTTCGAAGATCGGGTGGGCCTTTCAGAGCTTGCAGTTCTTATGTCATGTAGTACTATGTGTTTGTACTTCTAACAGTAAATTTTCGCTCTCTCGAATTTGAAAATTGTCCCTCCGGAAGAAAAAATCTGGATAAAACACTCAGATATATGATCACATACCGCATGCTAATAACGTCTCATTACGATATGTGAATTTACTTCGTTATTATATTTTTGAAGGATTGAATAAAAGAATGGTGGAAAAATGTGTCCCAAAATAGATAGAATAAAATAAGCTTCCTGTGAGATTAGTAAGAGAAGATACATCGTGTTTCACATTTTCTATATCGTATGAATTGTGCTAGAGCTTTCTGTATAAAAGTATCACCGAAAAAGAATAAACATTAGGAAATGTGCGAAAGCAAAAGTTGAAAGTCTGTTGCGACTATAATTGAATGAAGATAAGAAGGAACCTATACCAAGCTCAAAGATTACGTGTAAATGTTCTAATATGTATAAATGCGTGTTGAATAAGATCTTTTCGAGTTGATGTACAGAAATTTTAAAGATAAGTCTCTCTAGGCCAGAATCAAGGTCTGGATTGAGATAAAAAAGAAAACAATTTGATCCTATATATTTCTAGTAAGCATTAATACACATTGAGCTAACATATTTGATTCGAAAAATTAATAAATTGGCATTGTGACAAATAAAACTTTCGTCTTACATCACTCGAAAAAGTATAAAAAAGATTTAGTTTTTGAATCGCAAACTATTGGTCAAAATATTCAACTTTTAATTCTATAGATCTAATTTAAGCGATTTATAAGAATGACAAGGTAATTAGTTTTCTACCATAACTTATAGAAATCATCAAAAATACTTAGTTTGCATTCAGAATTTTATTTGATGTACCAAGAACAAATTTGTTTTTTTTTGTTAGTTTCATGAATGTTCTTATAATCAAGCATAGGTATCAGCAAATAAAAGTTTAAAACATATGTTTGAAATCTAACTATTTGATTCTTCTGATTAAGTCATCAGAACTGTAAGTCTATGCTTGAAGAGAAACAATTATGTACTATACTCGAATTAACAGTAGCTACTCTTCTAATATTAATCTATGATCATAAACAACATAAAACACTAGATATTTGTTAATAATTTTATGTAAGAAATATTATTCTTGTTTTAGTGTATAGATCGAGAAGCAATTAAAGAATATGAAATGATAGTAGAAAAAGCTGCGTCAGTAAGCAGATAATATGCGAATAGATAAAGCAAATGATAAAAATTCAGAATTTTATTACCTTTTTTTAAAGTGCTGATTAAAGATTTAAAAATATCACAGAGAAAGTCTCTATACAAGTCTTTATCATAGATCTTTAGAAGGAATGCTATTAATGTATTGAATGATATGAAACGACAGAAGAAAACTCATTGGGAGAGAAAGTACAAATCACTTCTGTTTTTAGATCTCACGACGGAAGTCTTCCAACTGATTCATATTTTTTTAGTGGGGACTCTGTGCATAATATAAATCCTAATGAACTATGAATACTCCAAACAAAGTTCAGGACTTTAACCTATTGATGGGAAGATACTGCACTTTTACAGTTCTTTTTACATGAATGTCATAGTGACAGAAAAACTGAATTTCGATTTAGAACTCTGCAAAGAGACAGACCTTAATGATAGTAGTTTTTTTGTGAAAGTTTCAAGTAAAAATTCGAAATATTAATTTTCTTTGTGTTCTTCAAGGGAATCACCTAATTAACTGTAGAAGTACAGTACAAGAAATAATATCTCCGTACCAATAAGCTAGTCTCGAATACTTTGCAAAGTATTCATAGGTCGTTAGGGTCTACATGATGCATCTAGCCTTGACTCAAAAACGATTTATCAGCTATTGGACTTCCATCGTCGGTCAATTTGAAATTATACAAATAATCAAAATTTCGATTCACACTTTTTAGAGATGACAAATATTGTTTGAATATCATAATACGCAAAGCGAGAAGCTTAGGCTCTTATTATAATGAATTCATGTTTTTCAAACATGATTATGAAAGATTTCTTCTTTAAACAGAGTATGGATGTGAATGTAATGGAAAAGAAGATTACCACTCACACCTACGCCCAATACGTAGGGTGACAAGAGTACATGTATGAAGTATCTAGAGGATATCACAGTGTAGAACAGCATTGATAGCACAAAGCACGAATATCAGAGTCTAGTATGGGTATTTTGTATTTATCCGCAGACAGTATGTGGTGATATATTTTTTTTATTATAATCCGTGCCATATGAACGTTGTTGAAAGAGATCATGACTGCGATTAGACGAGCGACTTTAATGAAAGGAATTGTCAAATTCTTGATTTATGGAGAGAATGACTCCAAAGTCGATTTTGAAGATAATTTGAGAACGGAGTACGACATTTTATTGAAAAATTCATTAAAATATTCATAATCCAAGAAGAAAGAATCATGAGCACAGATTCTTTTCGAGTCTCTCGTGTCTCGATAGAGCCTGCCGAATGGACTACGACTTGTCTCGGAAGCAATTTATCACTTGACGAGTTTTATCGTCCAAACGATTAATCTTAATATTTCTTCAATCTAAAGTATTTTGAAATTTTCGTAGAAGGTTTTAATAGTAGATCACTTTAATCGATTGACACTTGCAAATATCTATCATAGATTCAATATAAAAGCTTCTGAGTTCGAAAACTCCAACTCAAAGACATTTCAGATCAGCTTAATCACAAATCTTTTACTGAACGAACGAATATAAGTCTATGCATTGTAAAGAGACCCTTACAGTTGAGATATTTCTTGAACATATATAGTTATATGGGAATCTTGAGCTGAGAAATCACCATATGATCTCATTTGAGTTACTTATGTAAACCAAATGAAGCTTTATCTTGTTCTAATGAATGTTGTCATGTTAAATAATATTACCAATAAGTTGTCTGTGGGTGTGTGGGTGCTTATGTCCTCTCAGTCACACACTCCACAGACACCCACCCACACCCACACTCCCACACACCCCCCCACCCACGCCCCCACACCCACCCCCACCCCCCCCCAAGGTACAGCC